GTGGCTTGCGCCCTCTATTCTAGGAATGGCAATATTAGGCCTGGTTCACTGGCAGAAGAGTCTGAGAAGGGACTGGGGGAGGGTGTGCACTCAGGAGACGGAACAAGAAGCAGGACAGGGCAGGGCAAGGGGATGAGCAGAGACCTTACTAGAATCTGACTTCTGGCTTATCCCAGCAGGAACTCTGGAATGTGGACAACACCCAAAAGTTGTCCCACCTTTTGATAGAGACCAGACTGTCATACCTCCATGTCACTCTGCTGGCATCTACAGGCTGCCCCAAGAGTGGCAGTGGGGTTACCTCAGGGATTGGGGGCTCCTGCTCAGCCAAGTGTAATTCTCCTCCATAGAAGGGGCCAGATATGTGCTTTTAGCCCTAGTGGGGTTTGGTGCCCTTGTTCTGAAGGGAAATCTGGGCAGAATGCCAGCCATATCCACTACAGAGTCCAACCCTGAACAACAAAGAAACCGAGATCCAGAAACCAGAGTGACCTTCCTGAAGGCACTTGGAGATGTAATGGTTGACCCAAGGGAAAGCCATATATTCTATCTTCCAGGCCAGGACTCAGCTAATCTGTTGTCATGGACCTGCCCAGGGGACACAAGGGCTCTGCGTTTTTTCATTTTCTCCACCTGAAACATGGGGGTGACAACACAGTCTCACTAGGCTACTGTGAGGAACAGAGAAACCAGATGGGAGTGCTCCCAGGCAGGGCCTAGCACAGAGCAGTGCACAACATGCATGCAACATAAGGAATTATTTCTATACATTGCTCTGGTTTTCTTGTTCACACCCTCTGATAAGAGGCCTCCCTCTTCCCTGAGTGTGTATTTATCTCAGGAACTGTTGGAGTTGATATAAAGGGTGGCAAAGAAAAAAACCAAAACATTCTGTGTTCGGCCTCTAACTCCCCAACTTGGGTTTTGAATTCCATAGCAATAAATGTGGAAAACAGAATTTGTTATAAGAGAGAAGATATGTGTAGATTCCTAAATTGGCTATCACATACCAAGAACTAAACCTAGCCACAAGAAAGCAGAAACATATTATACCCTGAGGACAGCAGTCTCTGTTTTATTCACTGATGGATCCCCAGAGCCTACAACTGGGTCTGGCCCTAGTGGGCGCTAATTAACTTCTGTGGAAAGAAGAAAAGTAGTATGTTCCACAGGGTAGACAAGCAGAAATGAGAGAACTGATTGTCCTATCTGAAGGGCATTTTCCTCCAGACAAGAAGATGGTGTAGAAAGCCTTCCTCCTCCAGCAACAGAAAACTAGAAAGGGCAGGGCAAAGGGCTGCTGATGGTCCTCACTCATCAGGGGAAGGGCTTGCACCACCCCCAGCAGGGACCTTGCTCCTTATTCCCCTGGGCCAGGTTGCCCCATGGTTGCACAGTCAGCTCCCACATGGTCAGGGTTCGGGCAATGGGTTGGCCCTGGTGAGGAGAAGGCTTAGGTACAGCAGTCCTATAGCATGGAAGCCAGGGAAGGCAGCTTAGTGTCCCTTCATTGTCCTCCTGCCCCTGGGTTAGGGAGGTACTGCAGAAAACAGTTGGGTTAGAGACCAAGGGTGGGTGACAAAAAGAAAAGTTTAAAAGCTTGAGCTGAACTGTCCAGTGTGCATTTCAAAGGCTGTCATTCATGACAGTTTCATTGTCTTCTCCTTTCACCAAGGTCACTTGGTGACAGGCTCCTCTACTCTGATCCCATAAGGAGGCACATGGGCAAGGTCAGAGGCTGGATATGTTTTAATACCCACATGAAGCTCTTCCCTGGGGTGAGTTGTTAATCCTGTTTATGTCAAAAATCTTTTGGCAACCTGGTGAGGTCCATAAACCCTTTCATAAAACATAAACTTTAGATCCATAAAATAAAATAGTAGGATTACAAAGGCGACCAATGATCCTGAGACAGATATCAAAATCATTTTTGGACTGGGTGTGGTGGCTCATGCCTGTAATCCCAGCACTTTTGGAGACCATAGTGGGCCTTGTTTAACTAAGGCCAGGAGTTCAAGACCAGCATGTGCAATATAGTGAGATTTTGTCTCTACAATCAGCCAGACATGGTGGCACATACCTGTAGTCCAGCTATTTGGAAGACTGAGGCAGAAGGATTGCTTGAGCCCAGGAGGTCAAGGCTATGGTGAACCATGATTGTGCCACTGCAACATACCTGTAGTCCCAACTACTTGGAAGGCTGAGGCAGAAGAATTGCCTGAGCCCAGGAGATCAAGGATATGGTAAGGCATGATTGAGCCACTGCACTCCAGCCTAAGTGACAGAGTGAGATTCTGACTCAAAAAAAAAAAAATCATTTTTAATTTCTGTCACACATTGACACATATGTTTTCCAACAACTAAGTAACAAGGTCTAGTGGCAGGTCTTTATTTTAATTTCTAATTCATGATAAGGGTGAATAATATTTTAAGATATCCTCAATGGCTTAATGTGACATAAAACCATCTGTGACTTGTGTTGTTGTTACGGTATGATCCAATAAATTGGTTACTATCCTTCACAGTCAGTTAAAGAAGCGAGGCAGAAGCTGAAAGAAAAGGGAGAGTTTAATGTATATAACCAGATTATAGGAAGACAGGTCTGCATCATTACCAAAAAATCCATTCAAAGCAACACAGATTTCTTCCAGTACTTATACCTAAAATTTATAACCATGCGCCTACCCTGGGTTTGAAGCTCACATGCAGTTTTAGCAAGATTTAAGATTTACATTTTTTGATATGTGACCACTGATGTGACACAGAGTCTTCTGGTTATGCTGATATTTTAGATAACATTTTAGAATTTACAATATTTTTGAGGTTTTTTTTTTCTTTTAGAGGAAGGGGAAGACAATTGCAATATTTGGAAAGGAGGGAAAGTTACAATATTTAAAATGATAGCTTTAAATTGTTTTAAAACATAATTGTAGCTGGGCTCGGTGGCTCAGCTTGTAATCCCAGCACTTTGGGAGGCTGAGGACTGCCTGGGCCTGCAGGTTTGAGACCCACCCGGGCAACTTGGCGAGACCTTGTCTCTACAATAAATTTTCTAAAAAAGCTAGCCAGGTGTGGTAGCACGTGCCTGTAGTTCTGGCTACTTGGAAAGCTGAGGTGGAAGGATCGTCGGAGCCCAGCAGGTCGAGGCTGCAGTGGCTGGGAGCGTGCCACTGCCCTCCAGCCTGGGTGACAGAGTGAGACTCCAACTCAAAAAAAAACAAACATAATTGTAACAGTCATTTAATCATTGAAAGAGTGAGGTCAAACAGAGTGACTTAGTTAGAAAACAGCCATCTTAACATGCTTAAGCTTTGTCATGTTTTGCTAGCTGTTTGTTCCATACTTCACTTCCTAATTATTAGCCAAGGACAGAACCAGCTTTCTGGAGGTAGTTAGTAATAATTATTTTGCATCTCCCATGTATGTCTATTCTAGGCCTGTGTTTACCGGCTGTACACAACCAAACTGACCTAATTGTAATCAACCTTTTGTGACTGCGCACCAGAGACTGAAGGCCCTGGAGTCACAGGATTGGTTGCCCTGACAACGCCAAGGACACAGGACCAGTGTTATCAATACTCAGGTATGCAGTTGCTTGTTTTTACCTTGTCTCCTTGTTAAAACTCCTTCCTCAACCCCTCTTGCTGCACTGCCTCATGTCTTGGTGCTGATCCCATTCAGATTGCATCCTGAATGTGAATGATCTCTTTTGTTTTGCCTTTGCAAGTCTTTGCTTTATTACCGTGGCACTGGCCAACCTTGCCTCAATTCAGTAAACCAACATTCCCAGAGCCCTGAACTGTAACAGTCTAATGTCTTCATACTTAGAGACAGAGGAGAGGTGAGCAATGCTTACTCCAGGCGTTCAGACATTTTTGTTGGCCTTAAACTACTCTCCTCATTATTAGATGGTCTGGCTTGCCAGCTTTTCTTTCCTTTTTTTTTTTTTTTTTTGGCACCAGCAATGGCTTACGAGATAAGATTGGCTTTCTAGACTAGTCAGGCAAGGCTGTGCTAGGAGAATGAAGAGGGTTGAGGGTAGGATGGGGGGGGGAAGAATGTACAATTTTAAATTAAACAGCTTTTACATTCAGCCTGACTCAATTACAAAGAACAAGTTTTTAAGTCTTTTTAAAATATCTATTCCAGCATAACAAAAATGTCCTTTTTTCAGTCTATAACATTGGGACAAAATCACATATTTCTCTCTACATTCATAATTGAAGGAAATGCTACATTCAGTTAAAGCTAGGAAAAATGAAGATGCAATATTTACCCAATCACTGTTCATCCACAACTCTGGGGTTCCAGGTGAAGAATCCTGCACTCTGCAGCCTTGTGACTGCCTACCAGAGAGTCCCTCTGAGACTTTGGTGATGGTTTTTAAAGCAGCCAAATCTGCTCTTCCTAAAGCCAGGCAGCACTGGAAAGAGTGGCTGAGGGAGTGGGTGGGGGACCCAGTGTGGGATCAGGACTCCTAAAGCAGAATCCAGAGTGCAGACTTCTGGGGCCCTGCCCAGAGTGACTGATTACAATGCCCACTGGTAGCCCTGGGAATCTGCATTTCCAACAGAATGCTAGAATGCTTTGTCCCAATCAGGGACTTAAGATAGTGGGATGCTCCTCGTACCTCCCCTGGTTGGAGTGCAAGTGGCATCATTGCCAGGAGACCAGCCTGCAGCTTCTGGCCCCTCCAGGGCCCCTCATGTATAAATGATGCCTGAAACGTGAGGCCGCAGCACCTGTTTGCAGGGAAACCTGAGCAGAGGAGTGTGCGGCGGGATTGATGGACTAGGAACTCACCGCCTTCCTACCCCATCTCTCGCCCAAACTTCACCTACTTCAGCGTTCAATCTCAAACACACCAAGGAGCCCAGTTGCTGTCGGGGTCCAGGAAGGGAGGCCAGTCGCCATGAGGGCAGGAAAGCAACCCAGGTCGAAGGTGTGCATGGACGAGCAAGCCGCGTGAGCCTGTGAGGACCTCGGGAGCCCTGCTGACCATGAGCCACCATGCAAAGGGCCTGAAAGAGGAAGGTGAGTCCATTCTTACCCTTGTGGAGCTCACCCACAGGGTTTCTGGGCAGCAGCAGGAGGTAGGAGAAGCAGATGTAGCCTTGAGAGGCACAGGGAGAACTTGGGTTTGAGTCCCGGGTCTGCCAATTGTGTGCTGAGCAACCTCAGTCTGATTATTCAGCTCCTCCCCACCTCGACCATGAGATAAAGGTAGTATTCACTTCCTGCCTCCAGAAAGGATTCAAAACAAACTGCACTGAACAGTACACCCGGTCTGTGTACATGTGAGTGCTGGAGGCCATTAGGGTCACTGCATATTCCTCAGAGCCTGCAGTCTTTCAGCCTCCTCATGTCTTGATTAGAGTAGCCTTTCCTTGGCAATCCCCTCAGCAGATACTGTCTGTCAGAGAAAGGAGACCTTCTTACCTCATGAGAGGGTGTCAGAGAAATGTCACAGGGTAGGGATTCTATAACTTGTTGAGTGAAATAATTGGAGCTACTTTCCAGTCTGAGGCAGCCACAAACCAGTTGAAAGTTCCCACACTGATTTGGGATGGGGCAGGGTGCAGAGAAGGGGAAATGTTCCAGAAATCAGCCATTTGTTTCTGTCTCTTACAGCTCGAGGTGAAGTGAGACGGCAGGGGAGAAGCAGCTCTCCACGTACAGGTGAGATGGGATAGTGGGTCCCCAGAGAGCCTGAGGTGCCCAATTCACCTCTACTCATCCAGCATTTTTCTTCATCCTCCTTCCTTCCCTCCCCTTCTCACCTCCCATTCAAAATGCTGCATGGAGCCCTGCTGGAAGGCAGGCTGTTTAATAGGGGAAGGAGACAGAGTTCATGCAGTGAGGGCCTGCTGCTCAGACTTGGGTGTCAGAGGAGATGCTCAGAGTTAGTGACACTTTGAGCTGAGCCTTGGGAGACATTCACCAGACTGCAGGCAGGGAAACTCAGTGTAGACAGCTGGTGGATGGTATGGTCAGGATGTTCACCCAGGTCATCTGACTCCAGAGGGCACACTCTTACCCTCCCAAAAGTACCAGCCATAGTTGGTGCTCTATCGCTTTCCCATCAAGAATGTGGCCGCAGTTGTGCTTTAAGCTGGTGAGAGGCAAACCTGCCCCCAAGAGAAGCTGGAAGGCCAAAGGAAGTCACAGGCGGGAGAGGAAACTCTTGGCTGCCACTGAGGGTTCAGAGGAGCGGGGAAAAAGCCACACCCACAGGCTGGCATCCTGCACTTCATTGCACAAAACATCATGGATGGGGCATCATTTTCTCCTCTTTCTATCCCAGGCAGAGCTGGACCCTACACCCCACTTGTAGGTGAGGAAGCAGAGTCTCAGGGAGCAACAAAGTTCTGAGGGTTGGAGGAGATGTCCCCTGCATCCTGAGAGGAAGGGCTTCATTTGGGCCCCCCATGACATGTCATAGGTGGAGGAGCTGGCCCAGGACCCACCTCACCTCTCCCCTCTGTCAAGCCCTTCCCCTCTTGCCACTCCCAGCTCCCCCATTGTTGAGAACTGAGTCCTCAGTGAGGCAGCTCCATGCTGAGGGGACAGACCCAGAAGCAAGAGAAACAGAGGAGCTGGGCAGGAGGGAGGGGCTGGGATACACCAGTGGCATCTCAAGAGCCCTTCCTGTCCTGACCCTGGAGCTGCTCCTCGGTCACTACGCCACCCCACCTGCCCTCCTCATCCACTCTTTACCTCCCTCAGAGACATGGGAGTGAGTGTGGGAAAGTGCTGTGCACCATAGTGGCCAGATGAGAAGCCCCTTCCTCACAGGGTGGTTGGGGCCATTGTGCTCCTGGTGACAGTTACCTGTAGAATGCTCAGGCTGACTCTTCACATTCCATTCTCCTTGTTGTCATCCAGATGCCATCCTTCTACACCCAACCTGGCTTGCCTCTGCCTCAGCTGAAGGGGCTGGGCCTTGTGGGAGTCACCTGAGGGCAAAAAAACCCTTGAGTTGGACTGAAATGAAGGTCATTTTGCCTGAAGTACAAACCAGGACTCTGATTAACAGAAACATACTATGGACAGAGAAAGTATTAACAAATCTCGAAGATATAGAGCACACAGTTACTGACATAGTTAAACATTTTACCTTTACAAGTTTGACCTAGACAAGGCTAAGCATCTCTTATGATTTGACAAAATTTCCAAGCTTTTAAAAGATTTGGGCAATGTGATTCTTGCTTACTTCTATTCCAGCTACCACTTTGAAAGACCTGGCTTAGCTGGCTTAGCTGGGCATGGTGGCTCATGTTGGGAGGCTGAGCTGAGAGGACTGCCTGAGCTCAGGGGTTTGAGACCAGCCTGGGTAACTTGATGAGACCTCGTCTCTACAATAAATAAAAAAATTAACTGGGCGTGGTGGCACATGCCTGTGGTTCCAGCTACTTGGAAGGCTGAGGCAGAAGGATTGCCTGACCACAGCCGGTCGAGGCTGCAGTGGCCATGAGCATGCTGCTGCACTCCAGCCTAGGCGACAGAGTGAGAAGCCAACTCAAAAAATAAAAAAAGAAAGAAAAGAAAGACCTGGCTTAGATCAAATTTCCAATTCACAGTAAGTTCTGACCTCACCTACCCCTCTCTGGAATACTGAAAAAGCTTTGCCTGCTGTTAGCTATAAATTAGTTTATTAACAGGTTGTCCTATCAACAGGTTGTGTGGCTCTGCTGGAGTCTTGAGGCGAGAAGGAAGAAATCCAGAATTTTCCTAGGGTAGTTAGGGTTTCAGTTCTTGAATTGAGGTTGTTTTTCTCCTTCTTCAATAAAACTATCTACTGATCATTTTTTCCTAGACAACAAACCAATCAGTGTTGTCATACACAATCCTGAGAGTAGGTATTGGTTTACCAAGGTAACAAGTACCTGTCTACGTTGGGAGTAGTAGCAGGAGTTTTTTGTGCCTTATCCAAAACCAGTTACTGGGGACCGCTCAGTGATCTGGTTTTGACCATAATACTTCTGTGGGATTGTCAAATAATGATGTCACCCTCCGGCACCATTTATCAAGAAGAGTGTGGTCTCAGGCAGTAAATCGTGCAGTTTTGAGACCATTGAGTAGGTCTAAAACAAAAAACACACAAAAAGAAAAGTAATGTATCTTACTTGAAAGTGAGACAGTCTTCAAATATGTACCACCTGTTTTCCAATCCCCTTCCAAGGACTATGTAAGTAAAAGTTTGGTTGCACAGACTAACTCTCATAAAACACCCCTAGGAAGTGTTTAAGGCTGTAAACAACAATATTAAAAAGAGGTCTTACAGTTTACACAGTTAAAAGTAGCCTTAAGTCAGAGAGAGGACAACAGGTAGGTAAAAGAACAGAAAACAGAGGATGGCTTGGCCTGTAATCCCGCACTTTGGGTGGCTGAGGTGAGTGAATTGCCTGAGCCTGCGGGTTCGAGACCAACCTGGGCAATTTGGCAAGATCTCATCTCTGCGATAAAATAAAAGAAAAAAATTAGCCGGGTGTGGTAGCGTGCACTTGTAGTTCCAGCTACTTGGAAGACTGAGGCAGAAGGATCGCCAGAGCCCAGCAAGTTGACACTGGGGTGACCGCGAGTGTGCCACTGCACTCTAACCTGGGTGACAGAGTGAGACTCCAATTCAAAAAAAAAAAGAAAAAGAAAAAAAAAAAAAAACAACCAGAGGAATACTGATTACAGAGTAGCAATCGGTAGTTCCAAGGATCTCTGACACAAGCTGTATACCTTCCCAGGCTGTCTGCTTCAAGGAGGGCTCCTAAGAGCTCTCTGCTTGAGGTCACCAATAGAGATGGCCTTTCAGAAATCGGGGGATGGTTTATTCTCTTTAGTTTAAGGACATGAATCCAACTATCAACGCTTTAAGAGTTTCACCACTGTGTTTGTTGTTATCTGATAGGGTCCTTCCAGTTGGGGTTCTGAAATAGTTCTCTGTTGAAGACAAAAACTTGGGAGGTTTCAAGGAAGCACTGAGAACTGCAACAATAACAAAAATAGTATCTGTAGATGACATAGACTTAAAATGTTTTGGGGTAACATTCCTGAAAACTTTCATAAGTGAAACATTTCATTACAACAATGAAACTGACAGGAAAATTTGGATGTTTCTGTAGCATGAAAAACAAATGTAATAAAGGCATTTAAAAAGTTTTGGGCAAAATGTCTATAATGATTAAGCATGCTTTCATAGATGATGAATATTATGTCTCATTTATAAAGAGGGAGGACCATAATTTTTTAATTTTATTTATTTATTTTTTTTGAGTTGGAGTCTCACTCTGTCGCCCAGACTGGAGTGCAGTGGCCGCTTCCGGCCACCGCAGCCTCGACCTGCTGGGCTCCGGCAATCCTTCCAGCGATCCTTCCAGCGATCCTTCCGCCTCAGCCTTCCAGGTAGCTGGAACTACAGGCTCGCGCTACCACGCCCAGCTAATTTTTGATTTATTGTAGAGACGAGGTCTCGCCAAGTTGCCCGGGCGGATCTCGAACCCGTGGGCTCAGACAATCCACTCGCCTCGGCCTCTCCAAGTGCTGGGATTACAGGCTGAACCACCGAGCCAGGCCAGAATCATAATTTTTACGGAGAAAAAATCTTGAAGTATTATATATAATTATCTGAAGACATAAGACACATAGCATACTAAGAATACAGCAAGTATGTAAGAAAAACATGTCAAGAACATATGAAGGCCGGGCTCAGTGGCTCAGCCTGTAATCCCAGCACTTTGGGAGGCCGAGGTGAGTGGATTGCCTGAGCCCGCGGGTTCAAGACCCGTCTGGGCAACTTGATGAGACCTCATCTCTACAATAAATCAAAAATTAGCTGGGCATGGTAGTGCATGCCCATAGTTCCAGCCACTTGGAAGGCTGAAGCAGAAGGATCCCCGGAGCCCAGCAGGTCGAGGTTGCGGTGGCCAGGAGCGGCCATTGCACTCCAGTCTGGGTGACAGAGTGAGACTCCAACTCAAAAAAAAAAAAAAAACATATGAAGAATATCAGTAAGGCCAAAGTAGATTCTAAGCATCTTTTTTTTTTTTTTAAACTGGAGTCACTCTGTCATCCAGGCTGGAGTGCAGTGGCACATTCATGGCCACCACAGCCTCTACCTGCTGGATTCAGGCGATCCTTCTGCCTCAGCCTTCCAAGTAACTGTAACTACAGATGTGCACTAACACACCTGGCTAATTTTTTCATTGATTGTAGAGACGAGGTCCTCATCAAGTTTCCCAGGCTAGTCTCAAACCCTTGGACTCAGGCAATCCTCTCACCTCCCCTTCCCAAAGTACTGGGATTACAGACTTGAGTCACCGTGCCCAGCCTTAAGCATCTATATTTTAATAAAATGCCATAGTTAAGTCTATTGTGCATCTAACTGAAAAGCACTGGCGTGGAAGGTGTGAGTTTCAAATTAAAGAAAAAAGAATGTGTCCAAATAAAGTTTTAAGATTGTATGCCTGATAATTACACTGTTGTCTCACATCAGGCTAGCACCACCAGGATTCTGATTACCGCAAACATACTATGGACAGAGAAGGCATTAACAAATCTCTGGGATGTAGAGCACACAGTTGCTGACATAGCTAAACAATTTGCCTCTACAAATTTGATCTAGACAAGACTAAGCATCTCTTCTGATTTGACAACTCTTCCAGTGAATCTCTAACAGGAAAGTATCA